AGGAAATGCCTAACCCAAGGCAAGTAAGCGGCAGCCTGGGGCTAAGTCCAAGCACCCCAGACCATTGTGTTGTGCCATGTACATTCCCTGAATGAAACTGACCTGTGCGCTTCCTTTCAAGACCTTTGGGAAAAGTGGGCTGGTTTATTTTCTTCCACTCCACAGCCAGACTCTGAGAGAATAGCCAGAGGGGGGACAGTAACCACAAGAAGAAAAAGGGGGGAAAACCTTTTCTCTTAGCAGAAACTGAGGCATCTCATTTTATCCTTTAACTTCCCACTTCCTCATCTACAGATTAATCCACATCTATACCCATTTCCCTCAAACAGAGTTCTTTTTCCCATTTAAAGCCAGTCTTCCGCCAAAGCCTGGACTTCCATCGTCTCCCTCTCCTTTCACATCTTTTTCCACCTGCCTCTTTCTTGTACTCTACATCTCTTCCCTCCTGCTTCCTCCCCTGGTGCCCATAAATATGCTCTCATCTTTCCCATCATAACCCCCACTTTAATCCCGAGTTTCCTTCAAACTATGGACCAATTAACTTCTTTCATATTGTTATCCACACTTCTCAAAAGTGTAGATTTACACTTGTTAACTTCATCTCCTTCCATCCCAATAATTTCTCAATTCATTCTCATTTATGCCACCCTCATATCCTAATGAACGCTTTTAAAAAATGTTTTAAAGTTTCACGTACTTATGAAAAAGTTCATCAAGGTGTACAGTGCAAAGAATGATCACATAGTGAACACACCTCTGTGTCTGCCACCAGATTAAGAAATAGAACATTACTAGCACCTCGGAAATCCTATAGTGTTCTTCCAACCATTACTTTCTCCTTCCTCCCTAAATGGAGCATCGTCCTGACTTCTCATTCCATACATTAGTTTTGCTTGTTTTTAACTTTGCGTAAATGGGAACTAACAACATGACCTCTGTTTGTGTCTGGCTCTTCTGTGCAGCATTCTGTTTGTGTGATGTGGCTATGCTACTGCAGGCAGCCGTGGTTTATTCATTCTGACTGCCGTCTAGTACTCCATTTTAAGAATATGCTGCAATTCATCCATTCCACTGTTTATGGACACTTGAGGTTATTTCCAGTTTGAGATGATTTCAAATAAAATTCAATATAAATATTCTTGTATACATCTTTTTGGTGGGCATACACACACATTTCTTCATCTGTTTTTAAAGGAAGGAAGTAGTTTGGTTGTGAGACAGGATGGACGGGGGCAGGGCACAGCCACTCAAGGAATGACAGCAACCAAAATGGTGGAAGATTCACCTCCTAGCTGGCCTTGAGGATTAAGAGGTTTGACTTCTAGCAGACCTGGAGCTTCATTATATGCTCACTGTAACAGTGTGATCAAATAACATGCCCGCAGGCACCATGACAATCCCAAGGCTAACCGCAAAAGGCCAAAGAATGGGCCATGGCCTAATTCCTGGTAATCTCAGCCCCTTCCCCAGGGCAGTTGGAATGATCCCACCTGTAGACGTGTGAAGCTACCAGACCATAAAAACTGACAGTACCACACCTAGTGGCCTTTTCGCTCCCTCCCCTTCGGAGACGGCCCGCACTCTGTCTATGGAATGGAGTGTGTACCTACTTTTACTTTAGTCGGAGCACCCAATGGCCGCACTTCTTTCCTTGCATTTCTCTTGCCTTTCTCTTGCCTTACACTTTATGCAGTATGTATCTCTCTAAATAAATCTGCCTTTACTTAGTGGTGGCTCGCACTTGAATTCTTTTCTGTGCAAAGCCAAGGAACCACATTTGTGGGGGCATATCCCAGGGGCTCAAGCGAGACATGGGACACAGCCCTCCTCAAGTCCCACATCCGTTTTCCTGCATCAGTTGGGACCACCATAAAATAGGTTGGGAAAAATTAAGGCACAATTATAGTCAGCCAATTGGAAAAGTTAACCATGAACAACTACTATACTCACACAGAAATACATAAGACATGAATGCAGCCAAGAGAAGGTACTGGGAGAAGATATGTCTCCTCGTGTGTGGAAATAGAGAGAATATGGAACAGAAACTGTGCAATTAAGACTGTGTAATTCAGCACAAAATTGCATAGGCCCAGAGTAGAAGCAACTTTTAGAACCTCTGGGCCAAGACTAGACAGTTTAATATCAGGCTGGATTCCTCGCTCCTGCTCACCCATAGTCTGTGACAGGAGAGTCACCTGGAGACCACGCATGACAGAAGAAGGGGGCTGTAGGTCTGGGGGACATTTCTGTAGATCCCAGACATATATCTGCCACAGTGTCCTCTTCCCTCTGCCTTCCACACCTGAAATTGAAGCTAAAATCTCTGTGAATGGAAAATTTTCATATAAGCTCTGCACGCTCTCTACGGTTTCCACCCTACAGATACAGGTCCTGCGAGGGAGAGGGGAGCCAGGGCAGATTCCAAGAAATAAGTGGGGCTTATCAAATGCAAATTTCATCCCTGACAACTGAAGCTTGAAATATGGGCATACATGGAAGCCAGCGAAGGTGAGAAGGGTGGAGAGGAGCTGAAAGGCTGTACTGGGGTGCGGCTAGCTGCAGCTATCCTCACCATCCTCATCATTATTATCATCTCCCTTTAAATTTTATCACATAAGAGTTTACAAAGAACTTTCTATCCCTTAACTTTCACATCTATGCGGGTGGCAGGGCCAGGATTACCCTTATTTTGCTGATCTGCCCCAGAACAAGCTGGATAGAAGGCGGGGTCAAGACCCTAACCCGCATCTTCAGTCCCTCCTCAAGAGCCGGCAGGTCTCGGGTCGGTTCCTTGGGGAAGAGGAATCGGGAAAAGAGAAATGCTTCTCCCCACGGGGTAGAAGGACAAATACGGGTAAGAGATCTGGAAATGGCCAGAGGCTAAAGCAGTTGCAGGGGTGAGATGGACGGGTTGGAAAGGTGTGTCGGCTCTAAAAACTCTATCCCCTTCTGGGAAAAGTCCGGAGCCACCAGGAAGGTGCACGGATGCCCACCGGGCGGGCACTCCCGGCGCTTGCCGCGGAGGTAGGGGGTGACTTCGCTGCGACC